TTCTCACAACCATGGATCTCAATAACTTGTTACTGGATAGCTCTGATTCTAAGATGCAAAACGAGAATTAAAATGTCCTATTTAGAAACAAACTTTTATAGCTTGTTATATGCTGTCACTACAGAAAAGGCCACTGCTATGTAAATGAATGCAAATAGTGATATCCTAAAACATACAATAGGCTCAGAAGAGAATTTTCCTAAGAATCTCAGTTACACTTTGCTATGATCTTATTATTGGTGCATACAATAATAATAATTGGAGCTCCCACGTAACACCTCTCCTGTGCGAGCTGCACTGACTTCCGGTGGTCTTTCGGGTGAGATTCAAGGTGTTGGTTATCACCTTTAGAGCACTCCATGGCTTAGGACCTGGATATCTACGAAACTGCCTTCTGCCACCGAGAGCCTCCTGCCGGCCAGTACACTCCCACAGAGAGGGGTTCCTCGAGGTGCCGTCGGTTAAACAATGTCGACTGGCGGCCCCCAGGGGGAAAGGTTTCTCTGTGGGAGCACCTGCCCTCTGGAACGAGCTCCCCCTGGAGATACGGACGATCCCGGACTTACAAACTTTTTGCCAGGCCCTAAAGACTTTCTTATTTCACCAAGCCGGGCTGGCCTAATTTTTTAATTTTTTAAATTGTTTAATTTTAATCTGAATTTTAATGGGGTATTTAAACTGTTGAGCCAAATTATTTAATTTATTTTTAAATTGCTTTTAAATTTTAAATTTTGTGTTTTTACCTTTGGCTGTTCACCGCCCTGAGTCCTTCAGGAGAAGGGCGGTATATAAATTTAAAATAAATAAAAATAAATAAAATAAATAATTGATAATTAAGTACCCTTAATTAAAAAAGGAAACAAACCAAAACTATTGCCTAACCAGAAACTCTGATGATTGCATAATTGTACACACTATTTGGGCAACACTTAATAACTGTTTGGGCATTTTTCTTGGGCTATAAGAATGAGATGCAAAACTCCAGAGAGTCATTAAATAATAGCAAAGTGATACAGAAAACTTTCACTCTGGATGATTGCAGCCTGGATTTGGTAGGGTTATCCCCTGCTTTTCTCCTGGAATTTAAAATTAGGTCTTATGCTTGAAGTTTAATGGTACTATAAAAAAGTAGAACAAAAAGGAAACTAAAACATATTTTTGTAAAGCAACCCTGCTTTAATGCAACTTCCCAAATTATAAGTTGTTGTGGCTCTTCCCCAGTAGTTTTGGAGAGAAAATAATAGTGTGGAAGGAGAGTCTCTGGCAAAAAAAAAAAAAAAGTGTGCTGGTGTTCTTTCTATAATTTTTATGCTACAGGATTTCCATGGATATGAAGTTGATATCAATGGAGCAAGGTAATTTCTTCATTTCTAGAGTCCTTGTTAGGCTTCCATGCCTATTTTTTTATTGTTAGATTTATATCCTGCCTTTCATTTGGGAACTCGAGACAATGCATATTACAGTGCTTTCTCCAATATTTCCCAACAGCAACCCTCTGAAGTAGATTGAGATGAAGGAAAGTGATTGACTCAAAGTTACTTAGAAAGCTTCTCCTCTTACAGTGGATAGAACCTGGCTCTCTTGTGCCTGTCCAATATCTTAATCATTACACCATACTGGCTCTTTAGCATGGGAAGCTAATGACTTGTTAGAGTTAACATTTCTCCTCCATCTGTCCTATCTCTGTTCCCTTTATCCTGCCAATCTTATCTAAATAAAAGTGAGTTAAATCTGATGTCCATGACAACAATTACAGTCAGAAAAACTTTCTAATCCCTTGAGGCCAATAATTCTCCGCCCATGGCAGGACTAGTTTCCTTGGATATGTGAAACACTTGCCAAGATCTGATTTAAGAATGCTGATTGGATTCACAGATATGTACTCCAGGCTGAAGTAATGTGCCAAAATTAGAAGTTTTCTCCTTAACCATTATACACCATTGCCAAGCTAGTGTATTAAGCAGATTAGATGTATTAAAAACAGCAAGCCCCTTTTCATTCTCACTGGGTGAAATATTAGCGATGATCTCTTTCTTTCCCATGAAGTTAAAAAGTGATGCCACACATTACAGAATAACCAAACCAACTATTACATACATGGCAGGGAATTACAGCACTCCTAGTCCTTTGATGTGCACCTGTATTTATATACAAATATATTGTTTCATTCATACTTTACACTAAAAGAAAAAAAAATTACCTAAATATAATGTGTGATGCATAATAGAGGTTTCTTATTTGTTTAGCATGGGCTTCTGCAAGTAACAATTTACATCAGGTAAGCGGATTAAGATCTGCAAATATTCAGAGGAGCAGCTCTGAGGAAGCTCATGGAAGTTCCAAGAATGGTGTTGTATTCAAAACTTCCATATTTTTCAGTGCCTAAAATTTATGAGAAACTCATTTGTAGATACTGTACTTATAGGTTCCTAGTGAACTATATGTTTTCTGTCCTTTATATAACAGAATGAGATGCTGAAGCTTCAATGTATCCCATTGTTTTTGGTTTCTGTATAAATGCTGCAAAGCATTATTTGATGAGATTCTACTATTTTATAATCTGAATTGTTGTTAGTCAGCTATGTACCTGTCACGTTTTAGGTTATGCCCACTGGAGATTCTTTGCAACATTGATGTGCTCTAGAGTCTGTAGTAAGCATCCTGAAACATTATGATTCTCCAATAGATTAAGCTACAATTTGTAACCAACGTATGTGAAAGAAATCTCAAAATCATAATCATTGCCCATAAAACATTGAACATTAACCCATCCCTTAGAGGTAACTAGTTGTCTGGGCACACAGCACAATGACATGTGTGGAAAATGCTCCTACATTGCAAACTTTTTGACTGTTTTCTGTTCATGGAGAACATATAAATTTTTATTTTTATTACAGAAGAACTGTGTCCCAGGAAACTGAAGCCAAGAACATTGCTCCAAACACAGGGAGTTAAAGTTAGGAGTGTGGGATTTGCTACAGAAACTCATTTTATTGGTTTTATTGATGTTTTTCTCATGCAGCATTACAAGGCCAGGACTTTTGAAAGACGAACATTGGAAAACTTACAGAAAGTTTAGTAAACAGCAGCTGAATTTATAAGGAGCACAGATTAACAGTTAATCGTGACCTTGTGTATAAAACTATGTTATACATCAATATAGAGAATTCAAAGCATATTTAATTCTTAATTTATTGTTATTAGTAACAATATTGCTAATAAGGACCACAAAAAGAAAGACTGACACTAAGATAAAATTGATTATGAGAAGATGGAGCATAAATCAAAACTATTCTAAATAGGTTTAATGACAGATAGGACAGAAGTGCTGGTTCTTTGCCCACTTGATGAACTATTTAGATAAGAAACTTCAGAATTAAAAACTTGTTTATTCCTAGAAAACTATTCACTTCTTATAGCAATAGTTTGCCTGCTATTTGAGCAACAGAAGAATCTGCCGAAGCTATATAGAGTAGTTACAACTTTTTTTAAAAAAGGATATTTAATATTACAATGAAATATAGAGGTTACCAAGTTACAGAATATTGAAAAGACAAGGAAAAAACTAAATGAGCTAGAATAAACAGTGCTCTTTTTCATAAAAAATAATTCTGACATTGGCCAGGGCTTAACAACTAAAGTAAAGGTCAAAGTAGATGTGATAGGAATAAAAACATGTATGAAAACATGCCTCAGAAAGAAAGACCTGCTCTAGTTACTTATCAAAGTTCACAAAAAGGACGGCTGTTGAGACAAAAGGGAAGCATGTGTGCAGATTACTGAGCAATTCCTGCAGCCAGTTTTTTTTTTTTTTTTTTTTTAGAAAAGTTCACTTCTAAGTTTAGAATTAATCCTAGAAAAAGTGATATTTTTTAAAAGTAGCAGTTTTTTGGGGGTAGGGATGCTGCTGAAAACAGCAGAAACATGTACATGTTGTAGTAATTTCACTGGAAACAGAAAACGACTTTTCTGACAAAAGCAAAATAGATGCATTATATTATATATTGGCTTAATGGATCTATTTTGTACCTTTTCAGGACTGAAAATCATAATCTCTGAAATTGATGATCTTAGTGGAACAAGCCTGCAAAAACTTGGGTAAATTTATGCATACAAGTAATCTGCCACTTACAACAATTTGTTAGTGACTGTTCAAAGTTACAATAGCACCAAAAAAAAGTGACATGACCATTTTCCACACTTATGACCATTGTGACATCCCCATGGTCATGTGATCAAAATTTGGACACTTGGCAGCTGGTTAATATTTATGACAGTTGCAGTATCCCTAGGTCATGTGATCAACTTTTGCAACCTTTTTACAAGCAAAATCAATGGGGAAGCCAGATTCACTTAACAACCATGTTACTAACTTAATAACTGCAGGGATTCATTTAACAACTGTGGTAAGAAAGGTCGTAAAATGGAGCAAAATTCTCTTAACAAATGTTTCATTTAGCAACAGTAATGTTGGGCTCTTTTATAGTCATAAGCTGGAGACTACCTATATTTTGGTACCGATAAGTACGAAAGGAGGAGCATTCATACTATCACACTGAGGATCACATTCTGTAGTTTCTAAAACAGTTTTGGTTTTTGTAAAACTGAAGTTTTGCATTAAAACTTATATCACTGCTTAAGGGGAAACGTATTGTAGAACAACTTAACTTTTTATGGAAATTGCTTTTCTACATCTTCTAAATATCTAGGTAGATATATTATGGTAAGAGAGGATAGGAGTATCTGCACCACAGGTAGTGAAGTTAATTAACGTAACTCAATTTGCAGATTTTTTTTTTTTTTAGATTAATCAGGGAACAGCAAAAGAAAAGAAAAGGAATACAAGACTTTAATTATTACTTGCTGGCAAAATCAGGACAACTGCCAGTCTGCTCATGGCCGGTAATTAGTAATTACCAGCAGAAAACAAGCTGGCTGGTCTGTTTTTTTGCCAGCAAGCAAGAAATGAGATGTGATTTGCAATATCTGAGCTTGTGCAATGATGTCACTCCATAATCCCTGTCCCCCATAAGATCAAGATGCAGGATAGTAAAGATGGAGCTTGGACCTACTTTGCTGTGGACACTCCTGGGGATAAGCAACTTGGTGCTCTCCAGACTACAGCTCCTATAATTCTGTCCTACTGGATTTACTAACTAAGGCCAATAGCAATTTCATCCAAAGGATCTAGAAATCACCAGACTGTTAAATGCAAAAAAATCAAAATTCCATGCACCCCAGAAGATGGGTTAAATAAAGGGTTCCTCTGTTAAGACAGCAGGTATGTCTGGGCAACTTTCTCTCAAATGGAATGACTGAGATCAAATTAAGATGAGACTGCTGCTTTTGTTAGCAGTGTTTTGGAAAATATCTGCCAGGAGTTTAAGAAAAGGAAATTTTGAGTGTTTACTGAGATCCTGCAGAGGGTGCTGTGCAGTGAAAGTGTTAAGTATGGAAGTATGAATTTAGAGGCCTGAGTTTCTGATTGGAGAACTCATTGCAAATTCAGGAGAGTACTTGGGTTTATGTAAAGCCAAGATGGCAGCAAAAGAAAAAGGTAAGTGGGTTAAGGTGTGGAGAGTACTTTCCTTCCTATCTTTTGTTTTCAGCCATCATAGTCCACAAAAAGTTTGCCTTTACTCCCCCCCACCTAATCCTAAACACTCTCATACACTCATACACCTACAAACATATTTTTTGCTCTTTTTATTTTCCCTCCAGTCAGTATTAAAAATGGATGAAAACATAAGAATAAGAAAAGAATTTTTGTTTTTAAAGTGTGCATATGCAAATTCCAAGTGGTTCTCTCAGTTTGGAGACAGGGTTAAATTAGCCCAAAAAAGTATTTTGAAGGCAAGATGGCGTCTTCCCATTTCACTTGCAGAAGCAAACTGGAATGGACACATTACTTTCTTTGCTATTTAAGATTGGAAGCTTAAGCCCCTTGTTTTGAAAGAGGCCATATCATTTTCTGAAAATAAAATAAAAACATCAAATGAGAATGTACTGTGTTCGCATTAACCATTTAAACAGGGTTAATAAAATAAATTCAATATTCAGAGTTTGGACACAACTGCACACTAGTTATATCAGTTGGTTCTTTTATGCATTCATGTCAGATTCAGACACTTGTAATGTCTCTAAAAGGGTGAACTAATATGCTAGTATTTTCTGTCCTATTTTTTTTATTACTTTCCTTGAAGCTTCATGTAAGACTAATCTAACTCAAGAAAAGAAACATGTACATATGTGGAGAGAAATTTAATGAGAAAAAATTTAAGTGTTTTCAAATTAGTCATTTCTCCTTTTTTTCATCGGCTTCAAAATACACCTGAAGGAAATTCACCCTTCAACTTTATTGGCAATTGCTTTTCCTATTTTAAAAATCTAATATTTGTTCCCACTGACATATAATTCTAGAGAAAACAATTGAAGAAAAATCAAGAAATTGGAGATAAGTCCAGCATTAATTCTTTCACAACTTCTACCTTCACTGCTGCTTTTCAGCTAAATTGGAGAAAAATACTTGTTGCTTTTCTAAGACATATAATGTATAGATAGATGGATGGATAGATAGATAAATAAATAAATAGAAAGAGTGATTCTCTCTCTCTCTCTCTCTCTCTCTCTCTCTCTCTCTCTCTCTCTCTCTCTTCCAAGTAAACATGCTCAAGTTCATATTAGAAAATATATTTTCCAATGTGAACTTGAGCATGTTTACTTGGAAGCAAAAGTTACTGGATTCAGTGAGACTTGGTTCCAAGCAAGTATTTACTTGGTGCAATTTTGTTCTTTAATAGATAAGGTATGAAAAACTGGTTTTGCAAATATGCAAAATAGTATGGGTAGAATTGAAGTAATGGTATCCATTGGGGTTAGTAGGAGGTTTCACTTACCTTTGCTACCGGTTCAGAACTGTGAGCCCGTGCTTGTGTACAGTGCTTCTGCGCATGCGCAGAACCTTCTGCACATGTGCAGAGCGTCCATGATGATTTCCAGGTGGGTGGGCGGAGCCTCCCGCTACTGCCGCTACTGGTTTGCCCAAACTGGGGCAAACTGGTAGAAACCCACCACTGATTTGGGGTACTGATTGAGCAGGCACATAATATCGCTACATACCTTCTATTGTTTTCTTAGGTAACAGAAAGTTAATTGTACAAACTGTACAAGTGTGCTTTAAAAACAAGGACAACAAAAATATTTAAAATATGAAAGGAAAGTGGAGCAAACTGAATACAAATGATCCATTCATATAAATGCTTATCAAAAGAAATAGTTTTAATTCTCTGCCAAAACTCTTCTCTCCAGCAATTGGATTTACCACTTCAGAAAGTAAGAGAATCACTAGAAAATATTCCCCACTCCCAACTCAGTTCCTTGGAAACAAGCCAGTAGGATATCATAGTTAATAGTTTAGAAAACTACTGGAAGATCAAAGAGGACCAGGCCAGTTACACTTCCCAATTATGGTTATTCTATAGGTCATCCACAAGTGTGACCAACATTGTTTCTGTACTGTACCTTGGTCCAAAACCTGCATACCAATTGTCCATATAATCAGCTTCCTCTAGGACTCTGCCATTCTTTCTAAATCTTTCTAAGAAATCTGGAGACATCTAAAATTACCCCAAATAGTTGAGTGAGTAAAGTCTTTTTGGCAGAGACATGCCATAGCCTCCTTGTGAGATGACAGAAATACCCTCTCATTCAAAGAAGTGTTGACTACTATCCAAATTCAACCTTCTTTCACCTCATAGGAGATCTTACCAACTATGAGAAACGAAGATGCAAATAGAGAACGATGGTGCTGAAACTACAAAGTCACTATCTTCTCTTCCAGAATTCACAGATTCAAAATGATTCTAGATCATTCACAATATGAAATCCCAGGCATCCCTATTAGCATTTGTAGAGCCCAGTTCTTCTTGAATCTGAGCAGTTTCATTAGCCATTTCTTCACAATGGGCCTTCAGATAGTCTTGGAGAACATCTTTTCTCAAGACAGAATTTAAAGAGGGCTGGATAGCATTTTGCAGATACAATCAGGATGGCAAAAACCACACCTTTTTGCTTGAATCACCTCTGTATAGATCTGAACATGAGCTTTTATCAGTAGGCAGTCACACTCCAGATAGGTTTACTTCCAGTGACGTTCTAGGTATCTCTCCAGCTGCTTCACTTCTCTGAACTCTTTAACAAACCAAAGAGCTGCAGTTTAGCTATGACAGGAGAGATTATTCTAGTGCAATCCAATCAAGCACCCTAATCTCTTCCTTATTCCAGTGGATAACCAGAGTCAAGAACTGCCTGCCAGATCCTTGGGAAATTCCTCATTCATCTGCTGAAAACCTAAGAGATAGATTAAGTGCTTGAGAGTAACTGATGTAATAAATTCTCCTCCGTCATGGAAGAGGATCCCACATAAGTGGATTTCCTGATTATGTTTCTTGCCTTGTCTCTGCCTTTAAACAAGGGTGATACCTATACAATACCTGGTTTAGAATCATTGCCTCCCTTAGGTAACCATCTTATAAACACTCACTATCTCACAATTTAGACTCATCTCTTTCACCGGATTTTTTACTGCTAGATGAATTTAGTATTAAATTTGTTGCAAATTGTGATTGGTATATTTAAATTTTATTTATTTTTAAAAGTGTTGCTAATCATCATGAGTGCTTGCCAGAGCAGAAAAGTGCATACATACCAAATAAAATATTCTCATTTATATAACATTTGATGACAATCAACTACACTCATTTCATTTTTGAAAGACAATGCATCTTCCTGATGGTAAAAATATCATTCTGTTAGTTTTAGTGTGGCTATATTCTTCTTAATCTAATGAAGTCATAATTCTGAATCTAGCTCATGTGTTATTACAATGGGAAACTGATTATGAATAATCGCATTAACAAAAATACCCTTGATGGGAAGACAGAAAGGCATTTTCAAAACAAATACCTAAGGATTAAGGCTTCTGATTTGTGGGCATGATCTGCTGAATGTGGGCAGTAAGTGTTGTAGTTGTTGGTTGATGACAGATAGCATTTTTGTGTAAGCTGAAAGTAATGCAAGAGAGGCATTAGTTGTGGTGATTATGTTGTTTTCTTTTGATCAGTTGCTGTTTCTGTCCAAACCAGTATTGCAGCTGTTAGACAAATCATAAAAAAACTGTAAATGTGTGACTAGAAATAATAGTAGGTTGAGTGTGTACTGCAAACAATGTTGTTATCATGCCACTTCTTTCAACACTCTCTGAACAAATTATTTATATCTCTACTCTCCCCTTTCCTTAGCATACTTTCTGCAGAATTACAGATAGCTACAAGCTTAAGAGCAATATTATCTCTTCAACGTTACACTGTACTGCTTAATTTGGGGAGGGGGTGGGTGGATGAAGGCATTGTTGCTTGAAGCAAATTGACAATTCTATGAATTGAGTGTGAATATGTGATGCAACAAAAGAAAAGCTGATGTGGTTTTTACTTCTTACACTACTGAAGTCCAAAAAGATGTACTTTTTTCAGGGCACAGTTAAATGTAGGATATGTTATGCCATATAGCAAGTCTGATTCAAGAACAAGTTTTCTCACTATCTTGCTTTGCAGAGATTTGCATGCCAAAAATAACTTTTCTGTCCCAGTGAAGAGAGAGGATAGATTAGAGGAAAAAATAATATGGTATCTTCTAAGGCGGGGATGGGGTGGGTGTCAATAGCAGACTTTTTAAGGGGGTCCAAATTGCAGCCTTTAGTAGTGAATCTACAATCATCTACATGATGATGATGTCTGGGCAGAAGTTCTATGGATTTCACTTAAAACTCCTGTACCTCTCTCCCAGAATGTTTCCTTAGTCCTGTCTATTTTTGAAGTTCAGTCTTTGAGCTGCTGGAGCAATTCCATATATAACTTATATGTCTCTGTCCGTTTGATTCTGGGTCCCTTTGATTTGGCAGCCTCCTGTTAAGAGAGCTAATTTGATTTCTCACTCAGACAGTTGGTAAGACAAACTACAGCAAAGGTGATTGTGCTTTAAGAATGCTGAAGCTTATCGACTGACTGTTTCCACTGGCAGTAACCCTTGTCTTATCCTCTCTCTTGCCTAATTAATTCTCCTCACTTCATACAGGCAGTCCTCACTTAACAACTAGATACTTGGCAATTGGCTCACTTTTACAGCCAGCTGTCACATTCTGTGGTCATGTAACCACAATTTATGGAGGTTGTTTTTTTTTTTTTGCCAGTTTCCAGCCTTTGGGATTAATTTCCAGCAAAAACA